GGGTGATTTCTTGCTTTCTGTCTCTCTGTCTCTGTCTCTTCAGCAAGCATATGCACCCTATTGCAAAAATCTGTATTAAAAAAACCGTAAATGTCCATCTTTAGGCTTGTGTCTTCCTTAAAGGAACTCCAGTCACTGGGAAAGTAACATGCTTTCTATTTGGGCCTCTGTTCCTTTGGTTCTAGATTGAAACTGGTTGTATTACAACCCCCCAAGATGCAACCAGTGACTTTCACAATTCTGCTGATGATTCCCCTGCTCTTCCCCAAGCTCCAAGTCTCTGGAGACAGTTCTGATATTAGATCCTCGCCCCCTTTTTTTTCCTTTAATGTTTGTCATGTGCAACTCAGAGAGGTCTGTGGATTTGAACCCAGAGCCTTCTTACGTAAGTTAGTCTCCCAAAGTGTGGCGATTTACCGCCGTACCACCAACAGCCCCCTAAAGCACTTCTTCAACTGACAATTCCACGCAACACCGAGACCTGCCTCAGTCTCTCCCTTGTCTCTTTCTAAACCTACAGCGTTGGCAAAACCTCCCAGTGCTCTCGGCCCTGTGTCTTTCATGAAGTTGTCTCTACTGACCACAGAAATCTTTTCTCCAGCAAACCACTCACATACTTACTGAGTAATTAAATTTTCATTAGTCCAGACCCCAGCCAGCAGATTTTTCTCCATCCATGTTTGAGAAGTCATTTCCTGCACAGCTTCTAATCAATTTTCCACAGACACAAAGATCACCATCCCATGTACTAGGATTGCTCCATCTAATGCACTTGAATCAGTTAATTCAGTCTAGAGGTAAGAATTGCGTTTTATCCCCTCTCTGCTCAGTGCTGGTGTAGTTACATACAACTATTTGATGAATGAAAAAAAATGAATCAAAGAACAAAATACTGAGTGTTTTTCTCATGGCAAGTCCCCAGGGACACAACACTAAGGAGATCCAGTGGCTTACACTCTAGGGGAACACACTGCCGAACCCCTTAGCGCTTATAAAATTTCAGGCCAAGTGCCAGCTAATGCCTTCTCCCTGGGCCTTGCTTGCTCATGCCGGATGTTCAGTTATGAGGTGTGTCAGCTGCGCCTTCACGCTCCTTCGTCGTTATAGACAGAGGAAGGCTTTGCGCTCTATCAACATCTAGCACTCTAAGCGCTGTTGCTGCATCGCCTTTGGTCAACTTAGAAAACTTGCTCTTCCTATCTAAAAATAGCCTTGAAGGGGCCAGCAGGTGGCGGCTGTTAAAGCGCTGGGTTCCCACATGACTGCAGTTTGAGTCCAGAACCCCCGCTTAAAACTCACGACAGGCTCAGGCTCCTGTGGGTGCGTGCCTCAAATCCCCAAGGTGAATGGAGGAGAAGGGATTCCTGTCTGGCCATCCCCCTTTGGGGCGGGGGTTATTTCTCACTCTCCCTTTCTCTCTCTCCACCACCTTATGGCAAAAACCTAATAGTAAAAAAGTCCCACGGAAGCACAACAGTTTTCCAGCCAGGATGGAAGTTTCTGGATGGAGCTGAACTGGCAGATGAACAAGTGAGCCGGTTGTAACTCTCTGCCTCTCCCCTTCTTTCCTGCCAGAAAATCGTGACCTCGGAGGCAGGGGAGAGCGGTCGGGCTCCGTGGCAGATGGGCAGTTGGCAGAAGGAGCCTCCCCAGGCCCGCATCCCGCCCCCCCGCTCAGCTGCGTGCGGGCCTTGTGTACAGCCCGAGGTCTCCCCAGAGAAGGGAAGGGATTGTGCAGCTGAGAAAGCAGCTCCCAGCGGGAGAGCGCGGGCGGGCTTCCTGACACGAGAAAGGGCTGGCTTTTTGGAGGGCTCTTAGCAACGGCCCTGGCCTGACCCCCCTGCGCCCTGCGAAAATTAATCGGTGTCGGTTCTCCCGCGCGCCACGGGGCACCCGCGGCTGCACGTCCGGGCAGCCCTTCCTCCCCGCATGTGAACGACCGGCTCAACGCGCTTCTGCAAGGGGGAGAAACGACCGCCGCCCATCCCCCTTGCAGCCTGGGGGGTCGGGCTCGCTCGTGAGTGCTTTGACATCACCTCCTTTCTCTGATAGGCGGGCCGCGAGGGGTTCCAGCCCCGCCGGGCTGGCGGGGGCTTTATTCTGGAGTCACTGGCGCGTGGCTGCGCTTTCCTTCCCGTGTGTAGGTGAAACCCCATTGGCTTCATTGGCTCCCGGATAGAAACCACGCCCGGCTTTCTGCCCGCTCGCTGCTGCTGAGCCGGGCGGCCCAGCCCCAGCCCCATCCCCGCCGGGTGCGCAGGGAGCCGGGCCGCTGCGTCTATTGTGTGGATGCCGCGCGCGTCCTCTCCTCTCTCGCAGAGATGGCTAACAGGGGCCCGAGCTACGGCTTAAGCCGAGAGGTGCAGGAGAAGATCGAGCAGAAGTATGACGCCGACCTGGAGAACAAGCTGGTGGACTGGATCATCCTGCAGTGCGCCGAGGACATCGAGCACCCGTCCCCCGGCAGGGCCCATTTTCAGAAATGGTTGATGGACGGGACGGTAAGGCCGGCGCGATCCGATCCGTGGCTGGGGCGCTGGGCAGGGAAACCCTCTGTTAACGCGAAGCTACGCCGGGAACTGCTGTTGCCCAGCGGGTTTCTCACGGGGAGGGGATGGAGATGCCTCTATTTCTTCAGGGTGGGTAGATACGGATTCCCCGCACAATTCCCTAGCTAGCCTAGAGGATTCGCCTCCCATCCAAGCATCACTGCCTCCCTCTGAGTTGTCGGCACATTCAAGGTTCTTTGGATTTTTCCGGTGAGAAAAGAGAGCAGTATTTCCTAATCATCTCTGCAGCCTTCTTGGTGCATCAGCTCTTCTGGGGCCATTTCTTCCCCCTGGGGAATGGGTAAACAAAGGGAGGGGGGGCGCTTGCCACTTTCCCATCCTTCCGGGAGCCATGCTCCCTGGAGCGCTCCAGGTCTGTTTGCTGAATGGTTGGGCTCTCAGGCAACCCGAGGGAATCCTTGTTTGATAAGTGCTTTTCAGACCAGATGCTAGTGTGTGTTTAGGGGTTTGGCCATCTCCAGCTCCACTGATTCCAACGGCCCATCTTTTCCCGCAGGCTTCATCTGTTACGTAACTGCGAGCCTCGCTTCTGCTGGGTTGCCCCGGACTTGGGTTATACGTGTCTGGGAAGAGGGTACCCAGCCCGGTTTCTCACATATCATTAAGATAGATGCGAAGACTTATTTGGAGCCTATTTCTGATCTGCCTTTTGGTAGAAAAACATAATATTAGACTGTAACCTTTGACACTAACTCATTCCCGCACTGAAAGTCTAGAATCATGGCCTCATCACCTCTCGTCATTCTGTAACCATGCTTACCCTCATCCAGAAAAAGGAAGTGAGGCAGAAGAAGGGAATGGGCTTCCCGGGCTGCAGGACTCTCTATGGTCTGGAGTCTGGAGCAGTCATGTGAGGACAGGGCCATCTGGCCCTCGGGATCAGGACCCAGGCCTGGCCACACAGCCCAGAGCCCATGCCCTCCTGCCTCCCCAGACCTAGTGAGCATTGTCCTGCTGGGACCAGGACTTGCTTCTCACTCAGGACCTGTGAAGACAAAGGGCAACACTGATTCTTTCCTCTCCTCTCCCTTCAGGTCCTGTGCAAGCTGATAAACAGCTTATACCCACCAGGACAAGAGCCTATTCCCAAGATCTCAGAGTCAAAGATGGCTTTTAAGCAGATGGAGCAAATCTCCCAGTTCCTAAAAGCTGCAGAAATCTATGGAGTGAGGACCACTGACATTTTTCAGACGGTAGATCTTTGGGAAGGTAAACATCCTCCTGCCTTTAGGCCTGTTCTCCCCTTCCCTTTGCCCCAACACTCTGTGAAAATCTCTCAGTGTTTTTCCCTGTGCTTGTGGGTATGTGTGGGGTGTGAATCTCAGCTGTCGTCCTGGGGGGACTGTTCACCTCCCTCTGTGATGTTTTGTTAAAAGGGGTACCTTCCTCCAAAGGAACATGCATCCTGAGGACACCACAGGGACCTCGGCAAACGAATACATAAGCAGAAGCTTCAGCCGGTTACATGGATGCCGTGTATTTCTCTTACCTCCTACTCCCCCGTAACAAATCCTAGCCACTGGAAAAGAAGGGAGGTGGGGGCGAGTACGCTTCCTACTCACCCAGAGCAGGGCTTATAGACAAAGCTGTCTGGTGCTGCCTCGTCAGTCACTCTGGGAACTAATAGCACACCCACCTTGAACTAAACAATGGTCTTTGAGCTTGATGACTGTACCTTCTAGAGAGGTATTGTGCTCAGAGGATGTGACAGTGATTTTTTTTTTTCTTTCACATTTGTGAATTGGCTTGGTGAGAAATCTTACCAAGACATAAAAAAAATAAATCATATTCCTGGACATATTTCACAATCAACCATTATTGGGGAAATGATGTGAATGAAGAAACAGCCAGAGAATTTGGGACCTAATACTCATGGTCCTGTCACCTTTAGTGAAAGTGCGCATGCCCATCCACCAAACTGTATTCTTTCTCAGCGAGGCATGCCTGAGGCAGCGGGAGATACTGACTAAAGCAAGCAGATCTGCCAGATTTACTCTATTCTTACATGCTTATGATCCCTGGCTGTCATCAGTGACCTAGCCAATAGGACCCCCAGGGCAGTGACCCAAATGGCTCTGTTGATGGTGAGAATGGGGTAACTTTCCTCTAATAGAGAGACATGGTATTTTAAAGCATATTCAGATGGCTGAAATAGAATCCTAGCACTGGACCAGTCTACTAAACAATGTCTAAGAAAACGATTGCCTTCTTAATCCTTGGTGTCATGAAGAGAGTTGGCATTTTATGTTTCCCTCCTAAATGGGTAGTTAAAATCCTGGGATGTCAATGAATTTACCTTGTGTTTTGTCATCACTTAGAAATTCAGAAATCCAACACTTCAGGCCAGGTCATTGGACTCCATGAATACTTGCCTCCAAATCCTCAAGTGATAGCATAGTTGATACTTGATCCTTCTGAATGAAACTACGATGATTTTCCTCAGTTAATAAAATAGCTAATGGTGGGCCAGCTAGGTGGCATGGTGGTTAAGGCGGCTGGATCCCACTTGGCCAACTGCATGGTTGGAGTCCCAAACCCGGCAACTTGAAAAACAGACTGGGCATGTGTGCATGCATACCCGAAATTCCAAGAGGAGAGTGGAGGAGAGGGGACTGTGGTGTGATCATCCCCGCCTGTGCTTTCTCATTTTCTCTTTCTCTTTCTCTCGCTGTCTCTCTCCAGGAGTACACATGCCCAATCACAAATTGAAAAAAAAAAAAGATAGTTAATGCTTCTTGATGTTTTCCTATGCACTAGACATACAAGTACTTTACTGCATGCCAATCAGTTCTAATAGTCCTTTGAGGTGTTTTTAATTTCCCCATTCCACAGATGACGAAACTGAAATTTACCCACGATTACTCGTGTCCATCAAATAGCTAGTAATTAGTTGAACCAGGACTCAATTTCAGGCTCTCCAATGCCAAAGAATAGGGCTTACCCAGGCCGCCAGGCCATTCTTTGTCTGAGAGGCTTAGTTTCCTTTACTTACACATGAGTGTGCTGTTGAGTCATAACAGCGACTGCTGACGAAGATGAGGAGGAGGGAGAGGAGGAGGAGAATGATTCAGGGCTGTGAAGAACAGAAGGATAGGGGAGTAGTGTGAATGGAAGGGACCCTGTGAGGACCCATCAAGTGTAGAAAGAAGCTGGGATATTTGTGGGAAGCTGGGATCCTGAGGGAGACTTGCTGTCTTTATTTACTGCAGACTCTGTAGTTGCCTTTCTCCCTTTTTTCCAAAGACCCCAACACAACGGGCAGGGAGAGGTGCAGGGAGCAGCAGTCCCTAACAAACTGAGCAGGGGGAGGATGCCTACGCCATCTTCCTTAGCTCTCCATGTCTGAGGCATCTTAAGGAAAAGGGTAACCAGGAGGGATGAGTGATCCAGCACAGAGATCAGGTCAGCTCCAGGGCAGGATGATGCTCCCAGAAAAGGGGGAGCAAGACGGACTGAGCAGCCCATCCCCAGTGCAGCAGAAGGCTGAGGTTTGAGGGAGATGGGAGGAGACACTCTCCGGAGGTGCTGTTGCTGTCAGGTAGCAGGAAGGTCACAGGTAGGCCATGTGGGAAGAGGGTACGAGCAGGAAAGCTGGCAATGAGGGAGGCAGACAGACATTTCCAACTGGCCCAGAGAGCTCCATTGCCTGATGGTGACCACCATGGGGTGGCGACTGAGGACCGAGGTTCAAGTAGAGGTGTTACGGGTTGGAGAGGACCCTTGGTATCCCCAGGATCACTGTCGGAAGCTCAGAGTTAGTTACTAGACGATGGAGCAGCAGGTGGAAATGGGTTGCTGTTAGGGGGGCTGGCAGTGCGGCAGCATGGCAGGACTGAGTGAGTGAGGTCGTGGGCCGTGCTGCAAGAGCTGGTTGTCATTCATGGCTTTGAGGATGAGTGAGCTGGACTCAAAGGGATGCTTCAGGGCAGGGGAGGCATGTGTGCATGTGCATGTGCATGTGCATGTACCTGTGAGGGCGTACTTGTTTGTGTGCACAGCTCCTGGACTGCCGTTTGCTTAGCCTAGCCCCACATTCTCTCTACGGTTTTACACCCCGACTGCGGTTTCAATGCCGTCCTCAAATTTCAGTCTATTCACATTGAATCCTCATTTCCCACATTATGGTTGTGGTGGCTGTGGCTGCTATGGGTCCAGTTTTTTCTCACCCGGGTATTACTCTTTCTTCTCTTTAGGCATTTTATATTCCACGGCTCTCTGTCCCCCATCTCTCCCGCTCAGCGTCTTCCCAAGTAGAGGTCTGCTTGCCCACAGCTGGCCAATGATTCTACATGCTGCCTTCATGTTCCAGGCCAGGAAAGCTGCAGGACCCTGGCTTGCCCAATGCCTAGTTTAGACTTTCATTCTTCATTATTCTGGAGCCCCAGATATAGTCACTGTACTTAAGCCTCTTTTCGGTTGGATGTTTGGAATAGACTTGAAGGCAATTAAAATACAAAAATCAGGGCTTTTAAAAGGAACCTAAGACCAAATGGTCCAGAAAACAATCCAATCACAAGAGTGTCTCAGACAATGCTACTGACATTCCTCTTGAGGTGCAGCTAGAGTGATCGGTTACTTTCAGTGCTGGGGAAGACGTGAGGGTAGGTTAGAGGAAGGAGGGAGACAGGAAGTCTTCCTCTTGATTGAGTGAAGGTGAGCGGCCTGGCAGGTTATTTTTGGATCTGCAACAGGTTCTCAGAAAGGACAGGAGTGGGGTCATCTCAGCTGTCTGACTCAGGAGAGTACACTGCAGGTAAGACTTTAGCATCTTTTCTGTAGACAGAGGTGTGAGGAGAAGCAAGAAAGGGAGGTGTGTGTGTGTGCGTGTGTGTGTGTGCAAGAGAGAACTCGTTAGAGCACGTGGGTGCACTGCTCTAGTGCCTGAACAGAACAACTGCAGTGAAAACATACCCCGGAAGCTATTACAGCAGATTGCGAGCTCCTGAGTCAAAAACTAGAACCTGTACTTCACCACTTACCCATGACTTCCTCTGAGCCTTGACTTTTTCTTTTCTCAGCTGTAAAGTGGGGATAATAGTACCCATTTCACAGAGTTAATGTGGAAGTTGCATGAGAGAATGCATTAGACATGCTTAGCAGGGTGCCTGGCCACAGTAAAGCATAACTGATGTCTGCAATGTAGAAATGACTCTCATCAATGGCTGTCTTAAGACTGGTAGAAAATGAGGGAAGGAGGGGCAAGGCTGGACAGCCCATGTTCTGTCTGAGGACCTGGCACAGGAGCGCTGGCGTGCCTGCATGTCCTGTGCCCCCTCTGCTATCGATAGAGCGCCATCTCATCAGGCGTTCTCCAATGGGAAGGAGCAGTTTTATGGGTTACTTTATTGACTTTTCCCCACTTTGCAGTCATTACTCTCTTGACATCTTTCCCTATAACATACTGCTTTGCCAATTCTAGACACAGGAGAATTGGCACTATGGAAATAGCAAGAGTTTAGAGTTGGTTTGGGAGTTATTTGGAGTCAGACAAATGGGTTGAACCCCTCCTTCAGCTGCTGACTAGCTGCGTGACCTTGTTTAAGATGTATAGCTTCTCAGAGCCTCAGTTCCCTTCTCTGCAAACAGGTCTAATGCTTCCCTAGTGGAAATTAAATGTGTAAGATGCCTAGCGTGATTTCTGGCTACTGGACACCTGATAAACACTGGCTCATTTCCCCACCACTAGCCCATCAGCAACTGACCTTTCTGGCTCATTAGTATAATCACTTGGCAAGCATTAAACATGTAGAATTTGAGAATGTTGGAGAAGGCAAGACAAAAATCAGTTAATCTGATTACCCTTCCCAGTAATCCCTCTGATAAAGACCCTGCATGCATGGTCTGGTCATCCTTGCTCCTGTCTCTTGATGTCTGGGAGTTAGAGAAGTGAGGTTTATGGGACCAGCAGTTAGCATAATGGCTATGTTGTTGGACATGACTCCTGTGTCTTTGATAGGTTTGCATCCTGGACCCGGTGGCTTAAACTCACACAAGGCGCGTGTCCATGCGTGCCCAAGATCCCGAGAGGAGAATGGAGGAGAAGGGATTGCGGCGTGGCCATCCCCCCTGGGGGGGGTGATTTCTCGCTTTCTGTCTCTCTGTCTGTCTGGCGAGCGCATGCGCCCTATAGCAAAAACCTCTCAAAAAAAAAAAAAAAAAAAAAAAAAAGAGAGAGAGAGAGAGAAGTGTGGTTTACACTGGAGGCAGAG